ATCCCTTAGTCGCCGTGCAATCAGCACCCACCACATCGCCTATGCAACCCTTCTTAAGCCCAAGCTAGCAAGCCCATGCTCTCTGCCCTCTTCCTCTTCTTTCTCTCCTTTCTCTGCTCTCTTTCTCATGCTCTCTGCTCTCTCTGCCTTCCTCCTCTCCCTCTTTGTTCTCTGCCTCTCCTTTTTTCCCCTTCAGGCAGCCCCCAGTAAAATCTCTCCGCCTATGATCATCCTGCCTCAGCCTTCTGAAGTCACTGGGATTACAGGCATGTGCCACTGCTCCTGGCTAGGATATTGTTGTCCAGTTGTTTAATCATTAGAAGCTTGAAATTAGATACAGTGGAAGTATTTACACTGTGGAAATAGCAAACAGTACAAATCAAGACTTGTTTTAGTCAGCTTTTCTCACTGCTGTGACTAAAAGGACCCGACCAGAAAGCACAATTGTAGAGGAGGAAAAGTTGGTTTGCGGCTCACGGTTTCAGAGGTCTTAGTCCATAGTAGGCTGACTCCATTCCTGGGGCTCAAGATGAGGCAGAACATCATGGTGGAAGAGTGTGGCAGAGGGAAGCAGTTCACATCATGATCAGAAACTAGAGAGAGACTCCATTTGTCAGATACAAATGTATACTTCAAAGCCCACTTTACCACTTCAGTTACCACTCAGTTAATCCTTATCAGAGGATTAAATCACTGATTGGGTTAAGACTCTTAAAACTCAATCGTTACTTCTCTGAACTTTCTTGCATTGTCTTACGTGTATGCTTTTGAGGGACACCACATCTAAACCATAACAAGGTTTTCTCAGTACTGGGGATTGAACCCAGGTGCACTTAACCAACTGAGCTCCATCCCCAGTCCCCTTTATGTTTATTTTGAAGCAGGGTCTTGCTAAATTGCTGAGAGCCTTACTAAATGGCTACAGCTGTCCTAGAACTTGTGATCTTCCTGCCTCAACCTTCCGAGTCACTGAGATTATTCACATGGACCTCATGCCCTGCTTTTTAATTTTCTTTAGAATATTATAAACTTAACCAAACTGAAACCAAGATTGCTAAACTCTCTATTATTATTATTATTTCTTTTCTTTCTTTTTATTTTTTTAAATCAAACCCAAGCCTTTTTCATGCCTGGCAAATGTTCTACCATGAGCTATACTCCTAAACAGTCTTATTAATTTTTAAGTCCTAGTTCTTAACAGAAAGCATAGCACATAAAGCTACATAAATATTTGCTTGATGAATAAACATAAACAAGGAATTGACACTTCTGATGGCTATTGTTGAATGAATGAAAAAACTAGAATACTTAAAAAAACAGGTTTTTTTGTTTGTTTGATTTGGTTTAGTTTGGTTTTGTTTTAATCTAATCATACCTTGCATGAAATATACTTAGTAAATTATGGTCTCTTCCTACACCATTTTCTACCTACTTTTAACACTCAACATCGTGAAGTGAAATTTGTGATGGTTTGACTAGAGTAGGATACCCTTATCTTGGCACCATGATAAAGACCAGTGAATAGTTCAAGACAATTGAATTGACAGTCTTTTTAATTTCTGATTTTCTTCAGGGCATTTAAGAAGAAAAGTTTCTTTGAAAATAAGTATTTTACCAGGAGCAGTGGTGCATACCTGTAATGCCAGTGGCCCAGGAGGCTGAGACAGGAGAATTAGAAGTTCAAGCCAGCCTCAGCAACTTAGTGACACCATAAAGAATTCAGTGAGGGGCTGGGGTTGTGGCTTAGCGGTAGAGCGCTCGCCTGGTGAATGTGGGGCCCTGGGTTCAATCCCCAGCACCACATAAAAATAAATAAATAAATAAAATGAAGATATTTTTTAAAAAAAGAATTCAGGGAGACCCTGCCTCTAAATAAAATACAGAAAAAAAGGGAAGGAGGACTGGGGATGTGGCTCAGTGGTTATTATTTTAATCCCTGGTACCCCCCCTCAAAAAAGGTATTTCTTGCTAAAATGAAACAATGTACTGGAGAATCTAAAATAAGCAATTTTGAACTCAGCTGGAGGATCTCAAATTCAAGGCCATCCTCAGCAATTTAGCAAGACCCTGTTTCAAAATATAATATAAAATAAAAAGGGCTGGGGATGTAGAGCAGCTCTGAGTCCAATCCCCAGCACCCTAAAAAACAAACAAATAAGCATATAAATAAAGTGTGTATAGGTTTGTGTTGAGAGCCACAGCCCAGTCAGAATGATGCCTGGCCTTTGCCAGAGGGAATGGTTGTAAGGTGACACCAGCGAACCATTCAGATGATGATTTGAGTTAAGCTATATATAATTGCTGTGATGCTGGATTGATTGTATTATATATTTGACCTTTACTGTCGGGCAATAGGGCAGCTCTTGCTGCCTCCGGTGCCCGCTACTTTGGAGTTCCCGTGAGTTTTCACGGGGTTTGGAGAAGATTGGATGGAGCCCGGTGGAGGGAGTGTGTTCCCGTGTGGTGTGGGCAGTGCCGATGAGAGTTGGGGAATAAAAAATTGCTGTTTGAACCTACAAGGCTTTGTGGTGGCTCGGTTATTTGTGCCCAGCCAGACTGCGGCAGGTTTGAGAAGGTGTAGACCTTTGGAAAGATGGACCGAGAGTGGAATGGAAAAGGAGAGGAACAGAGAACATGAAAATGGCACACCTGCTGGAGTGAGCTCCTTCAGAGGAAAAAGAGGTAGCATCATTTAAACTTAATGAGGACTGGCTACAGGAGAGGTCCTAAATGGGCAGGTCACCAGTTTGTTTGAAGTCAGTGATTTATATCAGCAGTTCCAGGGAATGAATTTTTACTTTCATTAAGAGGCAAAAGGTGATGGACTTAGTGGCACAGCATGTAATTCCAGCAACTCAGGAGGCTGAGGCAGGAGGATTACAAATTTGAGCCCAAGACTGGGTGTTTAGTTCAGTAGTAGAGAACTCCTGGGTTTAACCCCTAGTAAAACACAGCACACAAAGAGGCTAAAGGGAAGCGAGGGAAATTGCCCAATCTTGTCACCTTAAAGTTTACATTGAGACTATCTTCTGTTTGTAGAATTATGTGTTTAGAAAACAAGACCAAAGGTTTTTATTTTGCAGTATAGAATGAAACATAAAACTGCAAATTAAAAATTGTTAAAAATTAGTTGTAGCTCTTTTGGACTGAACTTTTATGAGATCAAATGTTTTCCTTTACACTATAATAACTACACAAATTTATATTAGCTCTTTGTAGATTTAAGTGGTTTTTAATTGGCAAAATCTAGCAATCTATAAAAGATTAATATAATCAATCATTCAATGAATTAAGGTTTTGGGATAGATTATTTGATGACATAGGAGACAATGTACTTCAAGAATTGAATGATTCTAAGTAGCAACAGAAGAGCACCTTAATTTTTGATGTTTTCTATACCTTCGTTAGATATTCTAATTCAGTTCTTGTAAATATTCTTATGAATGTTTCAACATTTCTAAGAACTCAACCTTTAATACCAGGTAACATTTTTCAGCATCATAGTCTAGAAAGGGTGTAAGCTAGCAGCCAATTATGTGACTAGAAATCTGTAGCAGATGCAAGAGTTTACAGTTTTTACACTACAGAGGTTTACAGTGAGTGATCTGCTAGGTGTAATTCAACCCAATCCAGTGTGTTTCTTTCCAGATTCTGCCCATTCAGTAAGATGTACCAAGGCTATATCCTAAGAAGTAGGATTTATTTTCCCCCTGTGCTGGGGGTTGAAACCAGGGCCTCCTACAGGTTAGGCAAGTACTCTCCCATTGAGCTTTATCTCCAAGCAGCAGGAATTTTAATTGTCTTATAAAAGCCAAAAAAGAAATACCTACTCAAGTGCAACTTTGCACTTGTAATTCCAGCAACTTGGAAGCCTGAGGCAGGAGGACTGCAAATTCAAAGGCAACCTAGAGCAATTTAGCAAGGCCTTCTCTCAAAATAAGAAGGCCTGGGGATGTTGATTTAGTGTTAGAGCACCCCAGGGCTCCATTCCCACTACTACAAAAACAAAACATGATCCCATAGCTCTTCTCCACTGCACGTTCAACTCACAGTTCTAGACCTTTAGGATTTACTCAGAGGATTTATGTGTTTGATCCCATAGCACAACAGCACATTTCTATGCCTACTATTACTGAGGACCTGGAACTAACTCTTTCCTCTCAAAAAAAGAGGGCAGGGTGATGCCTCTTCTGTATCTCCGGTTGATCTCAGTCCCCTTCACTTGGCCCAGGTGATCTCCACTGCCGTCAGTTGCTGCACAAAGCCTCCTCTAATAAGGTCAACTAGAGAAGTCCTCTTAGACCTGTATCAGTATTAAGCATAGCTGCTCGGAACCGCAGTTTTCCCAACTTCCAAAGTCTCCCTACCCATTTTAGAGGCTTACTGTCAGGTTTAGATGAGTGAGTGTATCAGACTACTTTTTCTTTTTCTTTTTTAAATGTTTAATTGTTGATAGACTTTTATTTTATTTATATGCAGTGCTGAGAATCAAACCCAGTGCCTCACACATGCCAGGCAAGCGCGCTACTGCTGAGCCCCAGCCCCAGCTCCAAACTACTTTTTTGGGGGGAGAAGCACTGGGGGGAGGGAGGTGGAGGGGAACCAGGGATTGAACCCAGGGGTCCTTAACCTCTTAGCCAGCCCTTTTTATTTTTTTTAATTTTGAGACAGGGTCTCACTAAATTGCTTAGGGCCTGGCTAAATTGCCCAGGCTGGCCTTCAACCTGTGAACCTCTTGCCTCAGCCTCCCTGGGATCACAGGGCGGGCACCACCACACCTGGCATTTTTTTCTAACCTGATTTATGTTATTCATTTGATAGACGTTTTATTAAACTATATGTTTGAGTAAAAAAGCATGGTTTAAAAAAATTATTGGAAACGTTCATCGTGGCACTGGAGAGGGCGGCGCTAGCGAGCACGGCCTCGCACCAGTGCACAGCGACACCGCTCGCGGGCCACCGCCAAAGACTACCAAGCGCAGGCGCGGGGTAAGGAAGTGACGCAGGCGCGGGCCGCCCGGCTCCCGCCGGCTCCGCTCAGCTCCCGGTCCTCGCGGCGCGCGTGTGGGGGCCACCCGGCGTTCCCGGTGCTCTTCGCCTGGTTTGCGAGGATTAAGCGTTAAGTACCACGTGGTGTGAGTACAGCTCCGAGTGTCCTGCGGCTTCGGGACCGGACTCGGGCCCCAGCCCCAGAGGGTCAGCTGCCTCCCCCGTGTTTGCGGATCCTCCAGATTTTAGGAGGAAATTGGCACCAGTTGGGGCCTCGGTGCCGAGGTCCCGCGGAGACACAGCTAGGAGAGAGTGGGAGGACGTCAGTTTGGGCGGAAAGGGCCGTGGGGCGAACTCCTGTGCTGGAAGGAGGGCCGAGTGTGAAGCGATCCGGATGGGACTGGAGGGTGGGATGGAGTGTGCCAGATGCCCCCGGTGTCCCCATGGCCTTCAGACAGAATCATAAACACAAGCTAATATTTTACATTCATGTTCAGTAAAAGAAAAAAATTCTCAAGCAGTTTTCACAACCACCGTCCGTATTATTATTCTTAAAATTTTGTGTACCTATTACTTTTTATGTGGTGCTGAAGATCGAACCCGGTGCCTCATCCGTGCTAGGTAAGCACTCCACCACTGACAGCCCCAGCCCCACAGTTCGTATTATTAATGCTTATTTGTGTTTTGCCTTTGGTCTTTTTTTTTTTTTTGTCTATTTTTGAGATGGGGAGGTGGTCTTGGGGCTCAAGTCATCTTCTTGCCTCAGCCTCTAGTAGCAGGAACAACAGGCAGGCATGCGACAGGCTGGCATGGGCTACCAGGCCTGGGTAAATACATTAATTTTTTGGAGGGGGTGTGGGGTGTGGAGGGCCAGTACTAGGGATTGAACTCAGGGACACTCGACCACTGAGCCATATCCCCAGCCCTATTTTGTATTTTATTTAGATAGGGGCTCACTGAGTTGCTTAGCACCTCGCTTTTGCTGAAGCTGGCTTTGAACTCGCAGTCCTCCTGTCTCAGCCTCCTTAGCCCATCTGATTACAGTCATGGGCCACTGCAACCATTCAATACATTAACTCTTAATTGTATTAAGTAACTTGTTAAGAATTTTAACAAATCACAGATATTCTCTGCTTTTAGAATAAAGAATAGAATTAAGACATTGGCCTGTGTTGGAAACATATATTAACCTAAACTGGTGGTGATTTTAGATTTAGCCACCTGGAACTATGAGTGAATGGATGAAGAAAAGCCCCTTAGAATGGCAAGACTACGTTTACAAAGAAGTCAGAGTGATAGCCAGTGAGAAGAAGGAGTATAAAGGATGGCTTTTAACTACAGATCCAGTCTCTGCCAAGTGAGTATGCATCCTGCTTGCCTGAAATCATGACATACCTTTGAGCTCCCTGTATGGTATATCCAAATTATTAAAAGCAGATCAGTGAAAGGTTGGTCCTTTTTTTTTTTTTTTTTTTTGCTATGCTGAGAATTGAACCCAAGGTCTTCTAATGTGTCAGGCAAGCACTCTACCCCTAAGTTACACCCCCAGCCCAAAGGCTAATTCTTTTCATTTAAGAACTGAACTGTCTTTGAATCCAAGTGCTGTTCTAACTATGGATAGCTCTATCAAAGCAGCCCACATTCATAGGAATAGGACATAGAAATTTCTTTTTTGATTATCTTTCTAATGGATAGTTTTCAAACATCACAATGGTATAAAAAGGATGATATAATGAACACTAACTTTTCATCTCTTCCAAGTTTTTAAAACCAATTCTAGACATCTTATAATGCCTCATCATGTAAGAGGCATACATCTTAGAAGATAAGGATGTTTCCTTAGTTTCCTCTAATCTATGAGTTTTCAGTCTTGTAGATCATGACCTTGACAATTTTGATAAGTACTGGTGAGATAGAATTCTCTCAACTTTGGTTTTTGTGATGTTTTCTTCATAGACTGAGCATATAGGCATTTTTGGGAGTACCACAGAAATGAAATTTTCATCACATATCATTTTTTATTTTATTTATTTTCTCTTTCTTCCTTTTTCCCTTCCTTTCTTCCATCCTAGGGCACCTTACCCACTGAGTTACATCCCTAGCCCCCTGTCCCCCCTTATTTGGAGACAGTCTCAGTAAGTTGCCAAGGCTGACCTTAAACTTGTGATCCTCCTGCCTCAGGCTTCCACTTCACTGGGATTACAGGTGTGCACCACTGTGCTTGGCATAACTTTTTAAAAGAAATTGGTATTGGAGATCAAACCCAGGGCCTCATGCATGCTGAACGTGCACTTTGCCACTGAGCTATACCCCGCAAGCCAATGAACTCTTAGGAAATACATTAATTGTATCCCACAATGATTAACCAATATGTCAGGGAAGATGTTTAGGATCCTCAGTGAATGCTTGTCAATCAAGTGAAAGCATCTGGTGGTGAGAAGATTAATATTAAATAGGGAAGGTTGTTCCCTCCATTCTAGTGACTTATTTGGGTTGAGGATGCCTCTCATTGCATTGCTTCTTTTGTAGTTTCATGGGCCTTTAGATTTTTCTTTTTTCAAATCTGCTCTGAACTGATTTTTCTTTCAAAGTATTGTCCTCGTGAACTTCCTTGAAGATGGCAGCTTGTCTGTGACTGGAATTATGGGACATTCTGTGCAAACTGTTGAAATTGTGAATGAAGGGGACCATGGAGTAAGAGAGAAACTGATGCATTTGTTCATGTCTGGAGACTGCAAAGCTTACAGCCCTGAAGATCTGGAAGAGAGAAAGAATAGCCTAAAGAAGTGGCTTGAGAAGAATCACATCCCCATCACTGAACAGGGAGATTCACGAAGGACTCTCTGTGTGGCTGGGGTCTTGACTATAGATCCACCATATGGTCCAGAAAATTGTAGCAGCTCTAATGAGATTATTCTGTCCCGGGTTCAGGATCTTATTCAAGGACATCTTGTAGCTTCCCAGTGAAGATCAAGAACTGTGGATACACTAATTGAAACCGACTTCATTTTTTTGTTCTGTCATGGTATGTTTTGAATTTAAGTCCATCATATTGTGGGACTTCAAAAGTATATGAGTGTTGTGTTCATTTGTGTATATAATTTTTTGTTATTTTGGCAAAATCAAAAGAGTGAATTGTGGATGCTAATTTTGTTGGGAAATAAATGAACCAATTGGTATAAGGATAGCGACACATGCAATGAAATTAGTAGAAAGAAGTCAGAATTGTAAGGGTAATTTTTTTTTTTTTTTTTTTGGATGGGGATATACTCCCCCCTCCATTTTTTCCCAGAACTGGTGATCAAACTGGGCTGTATACCCCCAGCCTAGTGTATTGCAGCCCCCCACCCTGCCTTTTTAAGGCAAAATATATATTTGGAAAAATATAATATGGCAGATTCAGTATAAAAGGTGAACTCACAATTGCAAGTCCTTTTTACTAACTAAATCAATGTTTTGTTTGTTTTTGTACTGGGAACTGAACCCAGGGACACTCTATCACTCAGCTACAACTCTAGCCCTTTTTGTTTTTGGGTTTGGGTTAGGGACTCCCTGAGTTGCCAAGGTTGACCTTGATTGAACTTGCCATTCTTTTGCTTCAGCCTCTTAATTGGCTGGTATTACTGGTGTGCTCAACCATGTCCAACTAAGTCAGTGTGTTTTTAAAGTGTTTGTCTCTTATTGTGTTGTAATGATAGTTTTTTGAATCAGTGTTTTATGTTTTGAATCTGGTTTGTTTCTCCTTAAAGGTTCATGTGTTGGGAACTTGTCAGGGTGGTGGTATTGGGGGGTGATGGAGCCTTACTAGATAGGCCTTATGGAAGGTCCTTAGATCATTCCGGTCATGTCCTCGGAAGAGATTGTGGAACTCTTGTGTCTAACTCCTGTTTGGTATGTAAGCTCTTCCACTACCATGATGCAGCTGAGAAAAGGAAAGAGTAGGCAAGAGAGAGTACACCACCTCTCACCAAAACTGAGCTAGTGTCATGCCCTTGAACCTCCAAAATGGAGCTAAACTTTACTTTTCTTCATAAGTAGCTTGTTATAGATATCTCATTATAAGGGTAAAAAGCTGACTAATACAGAGGACATCTTTTTTTTTTTTTGCTGAAACTAGTTTTGGCTCTTTAGTAAAATCTTAACATGAAAGTTTAACACTTTCAAAGCCTTTAAAGAAAGTATTGGCTGATATCTCTGAGGAGAAAGTTGACTGATAAAGTAGTCTGCTGCTGAATTCAGTCCGGTTCCTTTACTGTGAATTCAGTTCGGTCTTCAGACTTATGATGCTTTCTGTCTGCAGTCCCTATTCTCTCGTCAGGCTTTGCTAAGGGAAAGGAATGCAGGAGATTCCTTTACATACATTTGACCCTACCTATTTCTTGGAAGCCAGTCAGGGGCCATGACTCCATATGAAGGTGGTAGACTAGAAAGGGGCAAGTTCAGAGTGGGAAACTTAGTCAAGTCCTGAAACAAACTGAGTTTTCTAGGTCAAACTATAGGAGAAGTGAGAACTGAGCCTAGAAATTAAGATTCTTAATTAGGCTTTACATTAGATTTAAATACTGTACAATCATACCCCTATGTGTTACATGTTATTTATGTCCTTTTTGGATTTTCTAAAAACTATTTTAGCAGATTGCCCAGAGTTACTAGCCCAGACTTTGTTCATTTAGCCCAAAGATAAGGGTGTGTGTGTGTGTGTGTGTTTTAAACAAAATGGACCTAAGTGTAAGAACTTGAGAACTTTTGTGAGAAGTTTTGCGGGGTCAAGTATTAGCAGTATTAGCAATCACATACAAATCCTATCTTTGTATTTTTAATATAAATGATAAAAAACATTTAACAGCAGAATATGTTTTTGAAGTAAATCTATTTCTATCTATCTGGCATGACTTTCCATTTTACATATAATTTCCTCAAAGTCTTAAGTATTAAGTACTCTGTATTCTTTATTCTTGATAATAATATACTCATAAGCTCTGTAGCACACTGTATATGCTTATTAGAGTTATTTGGCAGGTTTTTACTCTCATTAGTCCAAAACATATTTCCATCTTCAGACATGTTCTATGGGCGTAATTTATATCTAATAGCTATTAGTTAGACTTTCTAAATGGCTGCTTATTTTAAGAGTTTTCTTTGCCTAGGACTATTGATATCTTGAACTGGATCATTTTTTATTGGTGATGTCCTGTGCCTTGTAGGATATTGTGCAGCATCCCTGGCCTCTTCTGGATGCTAGTGGCATCCCCTTTTACTTATTTATTTTTAAAAATATTTTATTAGTTGTTGATGGACCTTTATTTATTTATTGTGGTGCTGAGAATCGAACCTAGTGCCTCACACATGCTAGGCAAGCACTCTACCACTGAACCACAACCCCAGACCCTCCCCTTTCACTTATAATGTTTTGGACATTGCCAGGTATTCTCTGAGGGGGCACAATTACTTCTAATTAAGAACCACTAGTTTAAAACATAAAAAAAACTGCATTTGGCTGGGGCATAGCTCATTGGTGGAGTGCATGCTTAGCACCGCAGAAGGTCTTGGTTTCAGTCCCCAGTACCATAAAAACAAAACAACAAAAGGCTTATCAACTTCATTTTCTCCAGTAAGGGGACTTCTTTGTAGTCTTTCTATATAATAAAAGTTCTATATTTGTTAAGAGTTGATCTCTATGGGCAAATCAAGTATTTTTGAAAGGTTAAATGACATTGTTATATGTTTGAAATCTAAGGATGGAAAGGAGGAAAAACATTCCAAGTGGAATTTCAGGATGCAAATGAGTCTTGGACTGCTATCCTGTCTTTAATTATTGTAGAAGAAAACCAGCATTAAAAAATATATTTTTATTAGTTGTTGATGGACCTTTATTGTATTTACTTATTTATACAAGGGGGTGAGAATTGAAGCCAGTGCCTCACACATGCTAGGCAAGTGCTCTACCACTGAGCCACAACCCCAGCCCTGAAAACCAGCATTTTTAATCTCTATAGTATAAATTCATTCAACATATAAGAAAAATGAACTTCAGGTCACTTTCAGTAAAACCTAGGATGGAGTTAGTAATAGCATTTTCTGCCTAGGAAATAATAAACCTCATGTTCGAAGTGCTATTGTTGAAAACATTTATTGTTATATACTATGATACCATATTTATCAGTATGTATGTAGTCTGTCAGGATCTTCACTTTAAACATGGATCCTCATTGTTGGTATATAGGGGTCTAGGCTGAATTTCTAAGGTCATCACTCCTTGGAAGTTACTTTTCACTTAGAAACTTCACAATCATTATTGTTACCAGTTTTTCCCTGCAGTGTTGAGATGAAAACAAAATGACTGCTGGGCGTGGTGGCACATGCCTATAATCTCAGTGGCTCTGGAGACTGAGGCAGGAGAGTTCAAAGCCAGCCTCAGCAACATAGCAAGGCACTTTGAAACTCAGTGAGACCCTGTCTCTAAATGAAGTACAAAATTGGGGGGGATGTGGCTCAGTGGTTGAGTGCCTCTGAGTTTAGTCCCTAGTACCCAAAACAAACAAAACAGTTGATTGATTCAGAGCTGTCCCCTTTTCATAAATGTCTTATGGGGTACTGTGCCCTGGTTGCTTAATTAGCTGGATTAGAACTTTCTCCATGGATCTAGGCTGACTCACATGGGTCCTGTCATTCCTGATGGTTCATGTGTAGAATATGCATTATGGTCCCAAGAACTTTTTCTGTTCTTTGATAAAACAAGTTATTAATCTTTTAAGGTACTTTAAAGATTAGTGATTGGGGGGCTGGGGATATAGCTCAGGTGGTAAAATGTTTACCTTGCATGAATAAGGCCCTGGGTTCAATCCCCAGCACCATCAAAAAAAAAAAATTAGTGATTGGGGGGACTGGGGATGGGCTTAGTGGTTCAGCACCCCTGGGTTCAGTCCCTGTTTTTTTTAAAAAATAGTGATTAGCAGTAAATCCTATGTAGAATCAATCCCACTGACATAGTAGGGGCGATAATTTAGAAAAAGCAGGTTTCTCCATGCTACTGACTCATCATGGTTACTTGTTTATCCAACCACTGCGTAGTTTTACATTTAAGAGACCAAAAGACATGGAAGAAGCCTATGCTGCTCACCCTGCAAGAGTCAGAACATTGTTGGGATAACAGATTGTATTAGTTGTTCCTACACTATTTCCATCTGGGACACTCTGTACTTGAGCACTCAAATATTGACTGACACAGATTTATGATCAAGATCTAACTTCTGGGGCTAGGAATGTAGCTCAACGGCAGAATGTCTGCTAGTATGCAAGGCCCTGGGTTTCATGCCCAGCATTGAAAACAAAACAAAAATAAAAAACAAACTTCTGAAAAAAAACAGCTAACCTTGTATTTATTCATTGGCTAAGTATTTAAGCAGTTTTCTTCTGAGTGTGGGGATAATAAGCCCAGGGAATTAAGCTTAATTCCCACATGATTTAGGAGGAAACAGCCGGCCTCTGCCTGCAGTGTTCAAGCATAATGGCAATTTGAGCATATTTGCTGCTTCCAAGAATCATGTGGCAATCAGTTATTTATGTTGCTGGGTAACACCCGCAAGACACGCTCAGAGTGTGAATCAAGCTCAGGCCTAGCAATTCATAATACAATACAGTATTGGTCTCCACAGAGCCAGCCTGGGTGCATTTGAAAATCACACCCTTGGTTCTAATTCCTTACAATTGCTTTGTTTTAATTTTACAAAGTACTTTCACAAGATCTTATTTTAGCTGGGTGCCAAAGTAGGTACCTGTAATCCCAGAGACCCAGAGACACAGGCAGGAAGATGGCAAGTTTGAGGCCAGCTCGGGCAATTTGGCAAACCTTGTTCTCAAAATAAAAAATAAAAAGGGCTGGGGATGTAGCTCAGTGGTAGGGCACCCCTAGGTTGAATCCCCAGTACTAGGGGGAAAAAAGATCTTGTTTTATGATAATCTCTAAGGAACACATTCAAACCATCGTCTAGAAAGGAGCAGACATTTACCATATGTCTACAGATCCATATGCTGTGCTTAGATTTATTCTTTAAATTAGCTCAGATATTGGAGAGGGTAAAGATCAAAGTTCATTACTTGCCAGGGAATCTAAGTTATAATAAACAGATAAGATACTCAAGGAAAAGAAGTTTTTGTCAGTCTATGACACTTCTCAGGATGATCAACTGTGTCATTTCCCAAGAATTTCCCGTTAGATAGTACCGAATAGCGGAGCAAACTAATTTCATAGCAAGTATTTTTATGAATATTGTTCTGCTAGATTCCAGTAAAACAAATATTTAAAGAAACCATTTACTAAGCCCTCCATAGAATTATATTAAATGCTAACCATCCCGTGGCTTAGAAATTCAGTTTCTCCTTGAAATACAATGAATACATTCTAACTTTTAATTGCAAAGAATCTCATTTTTGTAATTTAATTAATTTTGAGGTATTGGGATTGAATCCAAAGTTATAATTAGCCACTGAGCTATACCTCTGCAGGCTTTTATTTTTATTTTATTTTATTTTTTGGTACTAGGCATTGAACCCAGGAGTGCTTGACCACTGAGCTACATACATCCCCTGTTTTGAGACAGAGTCTTGCTAAATTACTGAGAGCCTCACTAAGTTGCTGAGGCTGATTTTGAACTTGTTATCCTCCTGCCTCAGCCTTCCTAGTTGCTGGGATTACAGGCTGGCTCCAACCCTTCAAAAAAAAAATTAGTTTTTTTATTTTTGGTACTAGGGATTAAACTCAGGGGCATTTAACCACTGAGCCACATATCCAGCCATTTTTCGTATTTTATTTAGACAGGGTCTCATTGAGTTGCTTAGGGCCTTGCTAAATTGCTGAGGCTGACTTTGAACTCATGATCCTTCTGCCTCAGCCTCCTGAGCTGCTGGGATCACAGCACCTGGCTTTTACCCCCATTTTGCATTTTTTTTTTTTTAACATTTTTAGTTGTAGACAGACTCAGTGCCTTTATTTTATTTATTTTTCTGTGGTGCTGAGGATCAAACCCAGTGCCTCACATGTGCTAGGCAAGTGCTTTACCACTGAGCTATAGTCCTAGCCCTTTAGTTTGTTTATGAGACAATTCTTGCCCAGTTGCTAAGGCTGGCTTTGAATTTTGATCCTCCCACCTTAGCCTCTTGAGTTGCTGGGATGATAGGTGTATATCACTGCACCCAGCTATAATTTTATTTATTTAAATTTATTTCATAATTTTATTGAGGAGCTTAGAAGTTTTTTTGAGGTGGAGTTTTCTTATTTAGTGCCTAAGGCCAGGCCTCCCAACTCTTTTCAAATTCTGGCACATCTATAACATGATAGTGTATATGCGTTTATATGGCTGGAAGTGACCAGTCCAGTAACTGGATTCCCTGAGGGCTGCAATTCCTAGTACTTTGGATAGAAAGTTTTATTTTAACTACCTTCCAGCTATATGCTCTGCTGCAAACTTGTGATAAAAGCTGCATTGAGATAAGGTCTTGCTAAATTGCTCAGGCTGGCCTCGAACCTGCAATCCTTCCGCCTCAGCCTCCCAAGTTGCTGGGATTACAAATATGCACCACCACACTTTGCTGCCAGCAGTTAATAAATGGGATGACATCAAATTTAAAAGCTTTGGCACAACAAAGGAAACAATTAGGAATGTGAAGAGAGAACCTACAGAATTGGAGAGTATCTTTGCTAGCTACTCTTCTAACAGAGGATTAATATCTAGAATTTATAAAGAACTCAAAAAATACCAAGACTGCCAAATAACCCAATTAATAAATGGGCAAATGAGTTAAACAGACACTTCTCAAAATGGCCAACAAACATATGAAAAATGTTTAACATTCATTAGCAAATAGGGAAATTCAAATCAAAACTACACTGAGGTTTTATCCCATACCACTTAGAATGGTAGTCATCAAGAATATAATAATAAATGCTGAAGAGGATGTGGAGAAAAAGGAACACTTTTACACTGTTGATAGGATTGTAAATTAGTACAACCACTATGGAAATCAGTTATAGAGGTTCCTCAAAAGACTAGGTATGGAATCACCATATGACCCATCTATAACACAACTTGGTATTTATCCTAAAGAATTAAAGTTAGCATATTATAGTGATTATACAAAGCCCATAATTATAATTATAGCAGTACAATTCACAATAGCCAAACTACAGAAGCAGTCTAGGTGTTCATCAGTGGATGAAAAGATAAAGAAAATGTGTTATAAATACACAATAGAGTCTTTTTTTTTTTTTTTGGTGGTGCCTTGTGCTTTCGAGGCAAGCAACTGAGCTATATCCCCAGCATCACAATGGAGTAATAAAGAAAATGAAATGATGTCATTTGTAGTAAAATGGATGGAACTTGAGATCATTATGTTTAGCAAAATAAGTCAAACTCAGAAAGTTAAAGGTCGTATGTTTTTTCTCATGTGGAAGCTAGAGAATAAAAAGGAAAAGAAAGGTGGGAGGGTGGGGGTCTCATGAAAATCAAAGGGAGATCAGTAGAGGAAAGGGAACAGGGAGTAGGAGGTTGGAAGTGCTAGGAAGTGATAACTGGCTAAATTACATTTTTATATTGTGTGTATGTACAGATATGTAAGAACAAATCCCATAGTTATCCACACTTATAATGCAACAATAAAAAATGTGGAAAGAGAAGAACAACCAAACTTCTTTGGAGAGTTAATGCATGCTGCTTCTTCATGACTTCTAAAGGTCCCAGCTTAATGCTTTCTGTGATATGAACCTTGTTTCAATAGCAAGTTAGAACTTGGACACTGTGGGTGCTGTGCACATGTATGCTTTTTATGCAAAGGAATGACATGAATTGATGCCTTTAAAAAG